TGACAGCTTCTGGAAGACAACCACGACGCTGATGCATACACAAAGGGGATATGATGCCATTGATTAATGATTATTGATTTAATCAACTACATGTAGAACATAGCTCTACAGAGCTTTAAATCTGCCTCCTCCATAGAAGACGTCTTGATCGGGTTCAGGAGCTCCTCAAAGTGCTTTCCACCAACAATCTGGGTTAGCAGTTCTCCTCCTCTACTGAACTCTGCCTGAGCCAAGTGCTGCTTTCCCTTCCTGAATTATCTAACTGTTTTCCAGTACTTCCTCAAGGCCAAACGCCATCCTACATATCCTCCCTGAACTCCTCCCAGGCCTAGGTTTTTCCTTCACCACCCACAGAACCTGCCAAGCCCAAAGACAGCTTCCTTCCCCACTGGAGTCCACATCAAGTTCTTAGGACGACTTTCTGACCACAGCTCGTGGCAGCCTTTTCCACAATGAAGGCTTTGAACATTGCCCACTTGGATTACATCTCCTCAATCTCACTCATGATGCATGAGACATTTTTCTGGATGTGGGAGTTGAAGACCTCAAGGACAGGGGCCTCCACCAGATGTATGAAGTTCACTCTCACTACACATTTGAGTTTACCAGCAGTCCTCTTTATTCGAGTGTCCAAGACACATGACAGGTCTGATGATGTGACAATGAAGTTGGTCATCGATCTTTGGTCTAAAGTGTTCTGGTACCAAGTACACTTATGAACTACATTCTGCTCCAACGTGGTGTTTGTCTCGGCCAATCAAAGACCAGGACAGCAGCCCAAATCAAGTTAACACTTTTCGCCGTTCTGAACAAAACAGCAACTCACTGAACTCACTCGATCAGAGCCAACCCTCTCGTTCTCCAGGGACAACTCCAACACACCTGCCCGTTGCTTCTTAACCTGGGCAACTCCAGAAAAATAGCGGTTCCAGGCCCAGTGTTATGTGTACAGGTGAGCCCAACTATATCAAGTTGGTACTGCTCCACCTCCCACTTTATCTCCGGTTACTTCCCTACCAGAGAGGCGATTATCTACATCTCTAAAACCAGTTTGTGATGCCAGGGGTCAAACTTTAGCCGCCTTGCCATGGGGCAGGTTGTTGGCCTACAGGGAAGCGACTCCATTAAGTTCTTTCAAGCCGTGCCCAGCCAAGTTTTGCAGCTTCATATAGAGTCTGAGAATCTCTATTAGTCAGACCTGGTTCCCGGGACCAATTTGCCCTGGGACACTTAGACCCCTCCACCACATTAAATTGCAGATTATTGAAGGATTAGTGTTACACTTATTAATAAAAATAGTTTTACAATTATTTATTTGAACTAGTTGGTTAACTTGTTTTCACCTTCATTTGGATTCTTTTCATACAGACATAAATGAAAGTAAACCAATAAAAGTAAGGTGAGATCATTCTCTTCTCTCATTGGTCAGATATATAAAAAGAAAAAAGGAAAAGGCCAGATCAGAACTCCATTCCCCAGCTAAAATGAGCTGTTAGCAAATGTTGATTTCACTCTTCCAAATCCCAGAATGCAAAGTTCACCTCCCTACAGGAGCCTGTTTAGCTCAAACCTGCAGATTGCATCTGATAGTCAGATTGTCTTTGTCTGAGTTTGACTGCTGATTCAACTGGCCTGAACATTACAAAAAGATCTGAAAGTCCTATAGTGGCTCCTTTAGTCCACATGGATACACACATTAACTGCACCTTTATTTTGTAGTTTTGTTGCTGCTTTCCCTTCCTGTATGTTTCCTTTTGTGCCATCCTTCCTGTTTACAGATCAGGCACTGCCCTCACAGTCAACAATCTCTACTGCACATGTGCAGACATCACTAGCTGTCTGATCACAACTGTAAAATCTGTTTTAAACAGCATTTACTCACTGCAGCTCGGCAGCTAACAACAAACACAGATTAGTAATTATGTACTGATTACTAACAAGTCTGTGCTCCACGCCCTTTTTGGCCACGCCCTCTTTGGTCACGCCTCCTGCATGGCTGCAACCTGGCTGTCAGTTTTTAATCAGAAACAAAATAAATTTCATTTATTTACTCAAAAAATTAAAGACGTGGCAGCGATTCAAGGTTTCTGCCTCTTGTTAACCTGTCTGTCTAATTTTTATTTGTGTGTGTGTGTGCGTGCAGCCTAAACCTACATTCGATGAAATGTCTCCTGAGCTGACCGCTCTGCTGAAGTCGGCCAGAGAACAAAAAACCTTCAGAGATCACAACCTGCTGAAGGTGCCTGTCTGTCTGCCTACATGTCTGTGTGTGTAACTGTCTACATGTCTGTGTGTTCTAAAAGCAGCATTTATTAATGGTCAAATATTACAGCGAATAGTTAATATAAATAACCTCGATCAGTGGATTCAACAGTGGTTCTTCTTGACAATGACACATGACTCCGTTGACCAATAAAAAACCATCCTGTCAGAGCTGAGGTTGGAGTGAACAGAGATCCTAAATTTAGGAGCTAGCATAGCTTATTTTTCCTTCTACTACCAGGATGAGGTCGGGAGAAGGCGATTATCACATAAAAACATAAGTGACTGTGAAACTTTAGCTTTCTTTTACACTTAACCCGGCATGCCAGGCCACAAGCACTTTGTAACTGTGTGCCAGGACACACCAAGCCAACGGCCGACCGTCGGCAGAAAAGCACTTGGACCGATCAGTTGGCTCCCGTCTCCCCGAGTCGGTCAAAAAAGTGCCTCCGAACACACCAAACCGACGCCGACTGGAGTGTACGTTCTGCGCGTGCGCGAGGCGTAATACGTCCCCATAACAGCAGGCGGCGCTAATCTATGTTCTTGCCCAAAAAAAATAAATGACGGATCACTCTAGACCTAGTAAACACAGAGCACGCTGTCGTCAGTCATTGTTTTCATCAGAGAGTGTTGATAGTAGTCAAGAAGGATCGTTATTG